CCATTCTCCTCCGACACAGCCTTATCCAACTAACAGAAAACGAACTCTTTAAAGCTCTTGACAGTTTGGATCCTAGCCTGCGAACAGGCTCACTGGGAGAAAGGTGAGCCTGCACAGAACCATGCGTTTTATTCAATCAAACCCTTTTCGCATCTGCTAAACACGAACCAATCAGCGTCGTTTGCGATAACTAAACTGTCAACTGTCAAATTGACGCAAGGCGTGTACATTGTGCAACGAAGAAATACTGAATATTAAAATGTATACATAATGTATATAAAACAATAATACAAAGCATTAGCGGGCCGCACAATATATTACTCGGAAAAATATAGAATTCTTCAAATATTAAATAGATATCAATACACATACAAATATAAAGCCGAATAAAATACTACCATTGGCATTGAATGTACAGTAATACTTGTACTATGTGCGACTGAAAGAACAATGTTCTGAATATTTGAAGCTATTACTAAAATACGGTCAGATAGATTAGGATTTGGAATACCGAATACGTCTAAAATTTTACTAACTGTGGTCTAAATAAATAATAAATGAGCATGTATTTATTAATTTCTTCGAAATCACGAGTGTGCCAATAGTGGAAGCCGACGACGTAATTGTCAGCAGTTTATACAGTAAATAGTACAACGTTTAATGTACGATATATTTATCAAAATGACATGCCAGCGAGGATCAACAATATAATTATTCGTACATATTTGGGTATCTTTTGTATGCCTTCGCTTGCTGACTTGCTCACTAATGAGAATAATCCGTGAAGCCACGACGACCTCAAAATGTAGTACTATAGTCTGATGTCAATCCAAAGACAAAGTTCAGAATACTGTTATAGTATTGAATTTAAGCAATAGATTCAAGTCATTTATGATAGACTTTTTTGCTGTGATGCTTTGCTATTGCGTTTGGTTTCCATTTCTAGTTTTATTTGTTCAATAGTCTTATAATATATAATATTAAAATGAATAAAGTTCAAATTCTTCAAAATGCTGTTGACATTTGCTATTTTTAGTAATTTTGTCAACGAGTGTAAGCCAATCAGAAGCCTGCATTTCTATACAAACGCCACTACCAAGAAAACCTATAGTTCCGTGCAGGCCCTCTATTCTTCACGCCGTCCATAACCCAGGGCCTGTTCGCAGGCTATTTGGATCCAAGCAAATCATGCGGACCTGATGGGATACCTGGAAAACTGATGATGGCTAACATAATCGCACCATCTCTCTGTTATATATACAATCTTCCTTTGTCCCAGGGTGTAGTTCCTGCTTGTTGGAAGCTCGCAAACGTTACACCTGTGTTCAAAAAAGACGATTCAACGTTCGCTTCTAACTATAGACCCATATCCCTATTATCTATCATCTCAAAAACGTTTGAACGCTGTGTATATAACCACTGCTATCCCTATCTATCACCACGTTTCTACCACCTACAGCATGGTTTTTTAAGGGGTAAATCTACAGTAACTCAACTACTCCACGTCTACCAAGAAATCCTAGATCACTTAGCTGGTGGGAAAGAAGTTGATACAATGCACCTAGACCTGTCCAAGGCCTTTGATCGTTCAACATCACATGCTTCTGAACAAGTTTGAGCAATATAGCATATCAGGCTCGCTTCTTCAGTGGTTTCGTAGTTACCTAAGTGACAGATATCAGCGTGTTGCCTTAGATGGGACCCTCTCAGATTGGCTCCCTGTGACCTCTGGAGTCCCACAGGGATCCATCCTAGGATCCCTCCTGTTCCTAGTATACATTAACGACATGCCAGAATACGTAGGACAGGGCTCGAGTATTGCATTATTTGCGGATGACTCTAAACTATATAGGCCCATAAACTCGGCATCTCACCATCTGTTGCAATCGGACCTTTCAGGCCTTCATAATTGGAGTAATGACTGGGGCATGACGTTCAACCCATCCAAGTGCAAAGTGATGCACATGTCTCGGAAAAAGGTCTGCTCCTCTGCTTCACTCCAATACCACCTGAACGACAAGCTCCTGGAAAGTGTGACACACATCTCTGACCTGGGTGTTATCGTATCCAAAGACCTCTCCAGGGCTAATCATATTGAAGACATATGCACCAAGGCCAATAAAACCCTTGGTCTAATTAAGCGGGTGTGTGCTAGAGATGTTGTGGATTCCCACGCACCGTCATTCTCTGGAACAATCTACCACCAAACATCAAAGCCGCCCATTCCCTACAGATCTTCAAGCACCATCTACAATCTTATTACAAAGCCAAACTGTTGACCTACATACCACCATAGTTAATCTTGTTCTAAAATTCATTGTACAGTATGCTATATGTTAAGTTGCATGTAATCTGTGATATGTTCGTGCATAATTGTCCTAGTATGTCTCGTTATCCATGAATTGTTAAGGGGTCGAATATCAATTGGAATTTAGTTTCTGTTTTCTTCTCCTGTCGCAGCATTTTCTAGTTATTGTTATTGTTATCTCTACATTAATGTATATCTTTAATGTGTGTGACAAAATGAATAAATAAATAAATAAATAAACACATCACTCTGATTTTTATGTTTTCATTTATCATAGAGCATTTTCTAATCCGGATGCAGAATTAGTTGCTGCTGGAATTGATGCCCTTCATGTAGCAATTTTGGATAACTTAACTTCAAGGAGTACCTTGGCTACCACAATTTGTTTCCGGCATGATGTGTTCTACTATTTATTCGAAGGAAAAGGCACGAAAATAAATAATTACACCATTTTGGAAAAGGGAGATTTCCGGTGTTGTGCTTTTCCCAGTGATCGAGTGGGATCAGCTGGTTGACAAATTGGGTGATGGCGTAAAAATTGAATTTCCTGTGAAAGTTAGGTTATTTATATCTCATGGACCCAAGAGCCACCATGACAGCTGGGGAAATTAAAGAACCTCCCAGATATTACATTGAGAAGCTCAGTGTACACTGTCTCAACCAATCCTTTCACTTTTAACCAATCCTTTCACTCTTGGACAAATGTTTGCAGTTTTTAGTATTTAAATTTGGCTTTTATGCCAGAAATTTGTACTCTGACTGGTAATAGCAGACAATTTTGTATAATATGAGCTCCAGGATGAAAGGATTAATTATATCAGCAAATATACTTTGTTTATAATAAAGAATTATGCTAGTTTAACCTCAGACAGCCCATCCCTTGTCTAATTAGAAATACATAGTATTTGTATAACAAGCATTTATATAGGTTATTGTTGAATAATCAGCATAGATCCTGAATGGGGCTGGCTGGATGCCAGGATGATGAGAGATTATTTTCTCTTTTCACCATGAGCTAAAACATTGCTGGCAGGCCAGCCTGACCATTCAGGCCCTCTGTCACAGCTGTATTCCACATAGAACTATATAAATACTATGTAATTCTAAAGCACAAGGGATGGGCTCTCTGTTTAAAAATGTTGGAAGCGAAACCAGGATTCATAATTAATTGTGTAAACGTTCTCTGGTTAAAAAGATTTATTTATTACGAGCTTTCGATTGCCAGTCTGCAGTCTTCGACGGGTAGATTAATAACGTGCTAGTGATATAAGATATGATACAAAGTGAATAGTGATATACAATAGCGATTTACAATTACATTTACTCAAACAAAAGTCAATTACTGACAGTTCCGCCTACGTAAAAGATTGGTGACTAATTATATATTGTGCAGAATTTTAAAGTTTTTTGAGCAAAAAGCGATATTGTTCTAGCAAATGTTTTGAGTTATCAGCGTCTTTCTCGCATGCAGTGTCCAAAGACTCTAATGTCGATCTGTGTCGATAGCTTCCCTTGTCAATTACCTTTCCGTTTTTAAAATTAATTTTGTGGTCGTTTGCCCACACATGGTTCGCGATATTAGAGCCACTCTTGCATTTTTTCACGTTTCGTTCATGCTCTTTTCTTCTTGTTATAAAGGGCCTGCCTGTCTCGCCAACGCAACTCCACGAGCAATCTGAACAATTAATTTGATAGACTACGTTCGTCTGGTTGTCAGGTAGTGGTCGGTCTTTCGTTGAGGGAAACATTTGTTCTAGTGTGCAGAGACATTTCATAGTTACTTGGATGTCGTGAGGTTTCAGAATACGTCTAAGAGGTTCTGTTAGTCCTTTGATGTATGGTAGGACGGCATAACTGGGATTGGTCTTCGGTTCCACTAAGTCAAAAAACGATCTTACTAGTTCTTCGGGTGGTGGCGTTCTGTTTACAAACATGACGCGTTTCTGTTCAACTTGTTGTAAAAATTTCTTAGGGTAACCGTTTGACATTAATGTTTGGGTTATATGTTTGCATTCTTGTTGTTTGCCTTCCTCTGTGTTTGGTAAAGTTGCTGCCCTATGTAAGAGAGTTTGTGCAGTGCTGACTTTGTGTCGTTTGTCATGGTGTGAGTTGTAGTCTAAGTACCTGTCAGTGTGTGTAAGTTTCCGGTATACGTCAATAGAAAGAGATCCGTTATTGCGTGTGACTAAAGTGTCTAAAAATGAAAGTTTTTCAATAGAGTTAAATAATTTGTAGAAATTGGTTAACATGATGGAAAATACATCATCGACATAATGAAACCATTTCTTAGGTGGCATAGAAGATGTACTTAGTGCTGAATCCTCAATTTCCTCCATGCAGAGGTTTGCCACAATAGGGCTAATGGGACTACCCATTGCACAACCATGAATTTGTACGTTATCTTGTTGTAATTGAAATAGCTATTAGTAAGAGTAAAACGTAAAAGTTTAATAATATCTTCAATAGAAAGTTTGGTTCTAACGTGTAGGGTTTTGTTTCATTTTTATTAATATTGAAGAAATAATATTTTTTTGCAGAAATATGATTGACATTTTCAATAAATATTATCATTGTAGTATTAATATTGCATAATCTTTCTATTTACACTATTTACATCAAAATGAAATTGTTAACACCAACAAACTTGGATCAAAGTGTCAAGTGTATACTTCACTTAAAAGTAGCTCTAGCACTAAGTGTGAAGTTCCCACAGTCTTGCTTGATGTTTTAATACATCTGCAGGACTATCCCATTTGTTAGACTTTCTCAGAACAGTACTTCTGGCAGCATCATTATTTTTTTCTACACCTTGTCCAGTAAAAAGCTTGACCGACTTGAACATTTGCAAAAAGTTTGGAACATGGTAGACCATAGCATGCATGTAGGGTAACATTTTCTCGTTTGTGGCCAATAACCTTAACATGCAATGAAATAAATAGACTAACCCATTCTTGTGCTTTAAGGAAGTAATTAATGATCCAAAGATTGAATCATTGAATATAAACTATAATTAACACAATAAAAAACACACGTTTTGGTTTTGTTGGAGAAGGGGTGTTTTGGGGGGAAGTACTCTGTGTTTATGTCAAACGACATCCCTCCTCATCGTCACATACCTAATACTGTACTGAACTAATAATGCTAGTCAGGAGTAGCGACCCCCTGACGTATCTGACCAAGAGCACACTTGGACAGTCCCTAACCTGCCCGCTTGGGCAGTCCCTAACCTGTCTAAGGTCCACAGAACCGCTTAGACAGTCCCTATTATTTGAAATATATATTTATATGTGACGTTACTAGAGTCTATGGGAAGTGAAGTTGACATATTGGAATACTTCTTCCCCAAAAACACGCGATAGAGTGTTCCCCATAGACGAAAACGCCCTTCCCCCCTTCAGTTGTAGCGGCCCCAATTCGGTAGCTATGACCAGCATAGTGTGACGCATTAAAACCTGCTTGGTTTAATAAAATCCGAGTCTCAGCCGTTAAAGTTTGTTTGGTAAGAGGTTTTCCAGAAACATGAACAAAGAGTGGACCACCCGTTGTTTTTCTAACCAAGAGGTACTTCTTCATTGCCAAAACAGGACATAGGGGCGAGTTGGACGCGCCAACTGTGATTGTTTGACCCAAACAGAATGGGTCTGTTTTGGAGACTTTGATTTCCACTGTCATGAATTCGGGGTTGCCTTGACCCACCCCTGGAGCAAAATAAAGGTTTTCAAGCATGAGATGGACCTCGGGGTTGAATTTAGTGTTACATGTCAGTTCGCCTAGACGAAGAAATCCAAAAAAGGCCAAAGTCATGGCCGCCCAAATCATGAGGGACTCGTAATTTTGTGTTGATGGAATGGCAAGCATTAAGTGAAACAATCGCAAGTGATGAATTGTTATTGGTAAACGCACACGGGATTGGTCTCCATGGGAACGCTTTATGCCACGTAAGACCAGCTGCAGTTGTTGCATTTTTGGTAAATTTAGTTGAAGACCTCGGCGCATGTGCAAATGGCGAACAGCTGCCAGATAGGTTTTGATTGAAGCATTATTTTATAGATTTGGCAAGAAAAGCCACAAATTCTGTCAAAATGGCTTCTGTTGCTGGTAGGCACTGTTCAAGTGATTGCTGTTTAAACATAGTTACAAAATCAATATAGCGTTTTTCACCAGCACTATAAGTTTGTTTTGTGGATGAAGCAATGGATAAGTTGATGTAATGCTGAATGTCCCCTCTCAGATTATCAACAGTTGGCTGGGAATAGGGCATGGACTGGGATCTGCATGTGGTGCCAGTTTTCTGAATCTCTGCAGCTGAAAACGAGAGATAGAGTCTACAATTTCATTGCGTTTACCTGGGATATGTTTTGCATGAATGTATAGATTGAATTTCAATGTGACTAGGGTAAGATGGCGTAATAAATCCATCACACTGGGAACCTTTGAACGCTTAGAATTAATTATGTTAACAACCGACTCATTATCGCAATTAAAAATTAATCTTTTGTTGCAGAGAAGGCTTCCCCAAAGCTGACATGCAATTACAATCGCAAATAACTCTTGCCATGCAATACTAATGCCTGGTTTATTTTGGCTGGTGGGAAGGTTCCCAAGTGCCCTGGAACCATTTAGTACCAAATATCCCCCCATAACCTAATGTTCCTGATGCATCAGTAAATAGCTGCAAACTGTCAGCATCTTGCCATAACGTTGAGAGGAAAAAATTTGCCCCGTTCCAATTAGTAATGAATTGTTTCCACATAGCTAAATCCTTAAAAAATCCCAAATTTAGTTTAATATGGTGGTGGGATTCCTTGACATTTCTGGTTAAGTCAATCATCCGCTGCAAGAATGGCCGTCCAGGAGGAACGACTTTGCATGCAAAATTTAGAGTTCCAATTAAGGATTGCAGCTCTTTCAAAGTACAAGATTTTTTAGCTTCAAACTCGGCAAAAATTGTCCTAATGCGATGGATCTTATCTGCAGGCAGCCGGGCTTCCATTTTCACTGTATCCAAAATAATGCCCATAAATTCAAGGACTTGTAAGGGGCCCTGAGTTTTCCCTGGAGCGATAGGAATCTTGAGGTCATGAAAAGTAAGAAGCATTTTAGATAAGCTCTGTAAACATGTACTATCATGTGGTATGGAAGGTGCTTTTGGTTCCATGATTAAAAAGTCATCAAGGATATGGCATGCAAAAGAAATCTTGCAGTTATTACGTAAAATCCATTCAACAGCATCGGACAACTGATTAAAAATAAATGGGGCACTCCTAAGGCCAAAGGGGAGAACCTTGTCAAAATAGTACTTACCATCCCAAAACATACCTAATAGCTCATAGTCATCAGGGTGGACCGGAATAAGCCGAAAGGCTGACTCAACATCAGTTTTGGCAAGGAAACAACCTGGCCCAAAATGTTTAATGCCCTCAATGGCATCATCAATGGTAACATACTGTAGACTAAAATCATCCTTGCAAATTGCGCTGTTTATGCTGGTCATGCCCGACTTGGGAAACGAGAGGTGAAAAATCAAGCGAAATTTTTTAGAATTCTTTTTGGGAACAATGCCAATTGGTGAAACTTGAAGATTACTGAATGGGGGACTGTCAAATGGACCTGCCACCCGGCCAAGAGAGACTTCTTTTGCCAAATTTGCCGAGACAATGCTAGGGTTGGCAAGCGCTGTAGGCAAATTTTTTGAAAACCGTGGGATACGCTGTCCCTGAAAACCAATTCTTGCCCCATACCGTAAAATATTACATATCTGTGACGTAAAATGTGTATCTGGGTGCCCAGTGAGTGCTACTTCTAAATTATCTACAGATATAGGTGTCGGTAGCGACAAAATGATCTTACTGATGCTTTGATTTGCTGGATTTGTGACAACTCGTTGAGGCATGGTTGCTATTGCTTGAGGGTCTTTCACCGCATTTATATCCTGGGTGAGGACCTGCGCATCGGTTGCAGGCGTGGCTGTATCGACATGGGTTGTAGATGCATGTCCCATTTCGGTTGAATTTGCGGCAAATGGCTGTACCCCGTTTTGCGCCCCCTGAGGAATTGATATTTTCGGGTCCATTGGAAAAAAGGGGGTATTCTCGTTTTAGATTCTCAGGTGATGTAGTGAAAATCAATAACCACAACTGTTGGTCAGTCTCAGACCACTTTAGAAGAGGGTTTAAGGCAGCTTTTCTGCAAAATTTGTGGTTGTAGACGCACCACCCAAGCCCTGGTGTGTTTGTGCTGCGTGACGAATCAGTGACAGATACTGGAGTAAATCTTGAGATCTGGTGGGAAACTTGTGCGTAAGGACTCTCATATAACTCGTAAACGCAGTCGTCCATTGTTCGATGCTAGTGATTTTTTGAGTTGCTGGGGACTTTTTAACTTTAAGGACTGAATTTTCTAACGTAAAGACGACTGGCTCGTCATCGGCGGCAGTGGGAAAGCTACTGGGTAAAAGTTTTGATAAGTCAAAAAACTCGCCAGACTGAATCTGTTTCACGTAGGAAGCTGGGATATCATGCGCGCCGTGTACATACGGGGTGGCTGGTTCCGCTTGAGCAAACTGTGTTAAATCAACTGTGCTAACATCTGGAACTGCGCTGGGTTGACTACGAAGAACATCGGAGGAAGCACTCAGGATTTCTGTTAGAACTGCTGGATGGCTTTGTGCGGTCGACAAAGTCATAGCTTGGACAGCAGCCCGGGCGGCGTTCGTTGCTATTTCAGAGGCAGATCGTTCTATGCTTTCTGACACGATTGATCGAATCTGTGCGAGTTGTGCATCGGTCAACAAGGCAGGCGATTGTGTGGCCAGTGTAGAACTAACGGTTGATGTTTCTACCGAAGTACTCGGCGTAGCAGAAGGCACGTTTCCCGTAGTGTGTTGTTGCAAGCGCGCAATCAAAGTTTGTCTTCGACCGCCATTAGATATACCTTCTTCCTCGCATCTACGACGCAGGCTCGCAATACTGTCATCATCCCCCGTGCCAGATCGAGTTTGGCGACGTTGATTCGTTCCGTTTCTTTGTTGTCGAGGCATTTAAACCGAGATTTTGTTGAATTTATTAATATTGATTTAAACAGTAACATGGAGCTCAAAGGTAAATCCTTCAAAAGCTTTGAGCAAATAATGCCAAAAAATTGCGCGTGATGCATAACTTATGCTCCTACTTGCTCTGTGATTGGCTGTTGGTTTTAGTTGGGATACGTAAAAGCTTTTCATTGGCTAAAAGCGTTTCTTTCATTAATATTCACGTGAACACAGTGCTGCTTCAAGAAAATAACCTTTGACCCACCAACAATACACGGAAATGTCGACTTGCACCTTTGTCATGCATGTGTCAATGAGGATAAGCTTGCCAAACACTTGCTTTCAACATGTTGTCTCATTAACTGAATTTAAACATTTTAAATTGGCTTGAGCTGCCATCTCTTCCAAAGGATCTTTGCAAGTAACAATTGCATAAACCATTGTTGCCAGATGAGCTTTACTACACGTTCATAATCTGGAATTACACCATCCAATTTCTCTGGCAGCTCCTTGAGAAGTTTCTTCTTGTCAGTGCCAAGAAGACTGGCAAAGTCATAAGCCAGAACCTTGCTTATCAGCATTCACTTCCTCCCAAATGTTGAAAGTAACTCCACATATCTGATCACTTCGACAAGATGGTTTACATGAATGCTTTAGTGCTCACTCTTTTTTTTTCTTCCAATTATCCTTCTTGTCCCAGTCTAATGAACCTTGAACTAAATTGCCAATTAGTACATCCATGACCCTTAGCAACAAATGCAACTCGTCTAGGATAACATGACTCAATGTCCAAAAGGGGTTGTTTTTTGTTGTTGTTGTGACTTTATTTAAGCAGGGTGGCCCATTCAGCTGTTCATATAATTAGCTGAATACAAAAATGATGCAATTCTATGTCTAATCCAAATTATTCCAACATATTTACAGTTCAGATATATAATGTTGTTTAATTCTGCTTTTAAAACTAGCTAAAGTTAGAGAATTCTTAATTTCAGTTGGTAGCTCATTATAGTCTTTTGCCCCTTGAAACCTAAAAGTTTTCGAACCAAGTTCTCTATTTACTTTGGGTAATACAAAATTTTCCTTACGTCTTGTATTGAAATTATGAATATTAACGTCTTTGACAAAATAATTATCAAGATAGAAGTTTATAAATTAAAATACACCTATGAACTTTTCTCCTTGTCGAAAGATGGAGCCTCTTGAGCGAAGGGAAGCAATTGGTCATATTTGCTATATCTTCACTCTAAGAGGTACACTGTCACAAATTTTGTTTGGGTGACTTGTTATATAATTCTGTACTCTTTCTTTCAACAATTTCTTGAAAGAAACTTGGGCCCCTTCCTTGTCACCTGGTAGTGCATTTATGTGACACATTTAGTTCAAATGGTCCCTTCTCTGCTTGACTAGATACGATTTTGGCAATCCATTTATAACTATTGACAACTCATGGTAAAAATAATTACCAACAAAATCTGTCAAGCAGAAAATGGACCTTTTCAACCTTGGATTTATCATCATCGGAGAGTGCATCAAAACCTTTGTCACTTGCTTGGTCAGTAGTTTTGTTCGGTACTTTTAAATCAGATTTAATTTTGCTTCACAGTTAAACTCTCAACTTGGAGGCCAAATGATCTTGAAAACCAAAATGCAACGTTGGCTCGAGATAAATAATTTTTCAGTCTTTTCCTTTGTGCTGCAGATCCTGGGATTTTTCTAGTCTTTTAATGTAACTTAAAAGTTCCTCATTTTTTGAACACAGATCTGAAATCTCTTTGTTGTTTTTTTCATTCATAGCAGTTTCCATCTCACCATATAATTTTTGCATATCTGCTTCCAGATTGGCACACTTGCTCCTCCATTCTTCCAGCTCATCATGAACCTGTTGGCTTTCATGTTGGAGTTGTGCAAATGAGATGGTTTGTCCCTCAAAAATATGGATTTTTTGCTTCTGCTATCCAGTGCCATTCTCTTCCTACCTCTCGTATTATAATACTCCATCTAGCCCTGATAAAGTCACGATAAACATTGCACAAAGGTCTGGACGGTTGGTTAGTTGGCTGGGAATTCTATCTGTGGGGGAAGACCCTCCATGTGATGATGGAACAAATAAAACCTTGTGGTCGTATGGCTCAGGCGAAAATGTTGTGCCTCTTCGACCAGGTTACGATGCTCGACTTAATATAAATTCGGAAAGAACGTCATTTGAGATTTCATGTAAGGTTGTTAGTTCTCGTTCTCATAATTTTGGTCCTATATTTCAGTGTGCGGTTATTTCTGGTGAGGACAACCTATACACTACCCAAGAAGTTAAACCAACTACTGCTGTGAGGAATGTGTTTGATTTTTTAGAGATCAAAGAATATAATAAAAAGATTTCTGGTTATGAATTTTTTGGCTTCCAGTGACCAGATGTCATTAAATTTGAATTCCCAACTCAGGAACAGCAAACCAAGCTGTTTGCACATCTAAAAAGGGAAGACCCACAACTCTATGGCAAATTGGATCCATGTAAACGTACCTTATTCCTTGGAGAAACAGGCGACAATTTTAGAGCTGGTGCTCATCAACCAACCGAACAAATGTCATTTAGCATTCTAAACTTGACTAAGCTAATAAACTCTCCTTATGGTCAATTTCTGATTTCTATTTGGAGGGGTCCTGAGACTAGGAACTACATTCAAGCTCATGTAAAGGGCCATTACGATGATGTGAGGTCAGCTGTACATAATGGACTAGCCTTAACATTGGCTGATGACACCATGGAGACATTTAACATCATTGCATTTCTTGTAACTGATCTTGGTCATCTGAAGGAATCTCTTGGTAAATGCCTTTGTACGTCAATGTTTGGCTGCTACTGGTGCAAGAAGAATATGCTGGATTGGGACAACAAGAAACCAACAACGT